GTTGTATATATATATATAATTTTTTAGAGAGTCGTTGTGAGACGAACTAAATAAAATCTTTCGAATGCGAGGCATTTCTACGGAAGACTGTAGCGAATATAAAGTGAAACCTTAAGACACGGCGCAACTGTTTCGCTTGAGTAAAACTTTGTCTTTAACACTAGGTGACGTCGGATAATTAGGTAAAGAAGTTCTTCTCTTTTTCACGGCCGGACTCAAATCGTAAGAGATTTTCGCTTGAATTAACAACTGTTTGAATATCTCCATGATGTTGTGATCCTCCTTTGCCGAGCATTCGACGAAACCGTTTTCCCAATCTATGCTTATGATAATTTCGGCGATTTCCTTTTTAACTACCCGTAATTCGTCTCCGACGTCGCACTTGTTACCAACGATTACCATGGGTACCGCCGATGCTCTGATCTCCAAAACCAGTTCTCTCAGTCGTCTGACTTCTTCGAACGATTCGTTGCTATCGACCGAATACACTAGAACGAAGCCGTCGCCAGTGCTTATGGCTAATCTTCTCATAGCCGGAAATTCGTAAGATCCACTGGTATCCAAAATATCTAAAGTCAGGCAACATCCCCCGATCTCGTATTCTTCTCTGTGAAGTTCTTCCACCGTTGCTTTGTGGTCCAGAGGAAATCTGTCGTATAGAAATTGTTGCACGATGGCAGTTTTTCCCACTTTGGCAGCTCCCATGACTACGATTCGATAATGGTCTTTCGTTTTCTCTCCATCACTCATGGCTCCCAACGTCGGGATCGAAGAATCGTTTGTACTCGGCATCGAAATAAAGATTCTCGAGATGTTAGATCTGAAAAATTAAATTATCGCGAATTTAAAATATTCTACTAATTAAATTTTGTTTACTGAACAATTTAAAAGCAAAATTAATTGTTTTTTTTTTGTTTTGTTTTGGCGCAAATCTTCACTCGTCTTATTAATAAATGGAAAATTCCTCAAATCCCCGTTAATGTGTTTGCACGTAGAAAATTTAATATACAGAGAATATTTGGGTACTTCGATTTTTTATAACATAAACTGATATTTTCAATCATTTAAAACCTTTTTGCATATTTATTTAAACTGCGTTTAAACCGTGCAGAAATAAATAAGTTAAATCGACAATATTCCCTCTTACGTCAGATGTTTTTTAAGGATTAAAATGTATGCAAAGAAGAGAAATGTTACGTAATACGAAGCCGATTTTACCAACTTTTTAAAATGTCAAACATTTTTGCAGAAAAGGAAAAAAAAAAAAATCGTAAGAGAATTACCGCTCGATACCTTGACCTTCAATCGGTTTCCAGGTCTTAAAGTAAACAACTTCATTGATCGTTATTCTGTTTAAACAGCCATCATTATAAGATATGCAACAAACGGCAATTACTAAATCCTCCGTATTAACTTATAGTGCATTACGTAACATCCTACACACACACACACACACACAAAAAAAACCGAACGTAAAGAGCATCCTCCCGCACTTTCCTCTCCTCTTTTAGACAATCGGGAATTTCGAAAGAAGCTAACTAAACCAGAAAAAAAAAAACAATACATATTAATAATAAAAGGTGCAATTATTCTTACCATTAAACAATTTATTCCCGTCGACGGCCGACTTGTTATCGTTAACTCATTCTGGCGACTGCACTTTTATAGCCCAACGGCGCCGACAGCGCCATCCCACCGAGAGTAACAGTGACATAGTGTGTTCGAGCATTCTGATTGGTGGCGGATGCAAAACTTGTCTCGTTTCTGCAGAAACCGGAGAGAACCTCTGCACGAGCCGAGTTCCGGGGATGCAGAAATCAACCGGATGTACAGTACGTAGCAAAACTCCCCTCCTATTGGCTACCGAAGAAATTAAAAATAATAATAATAATAATAATTAAATTAATTAATATTAATTTATCGAATTATACCAATCCTTAACGAGTGACCACTCGTAATTTTTTTTTTTTCGTGTTGCATATTTATATTAGAAATATTTACTAAGACGTCCTTGACACGTCCTTCGATATTTCTATACACGTCATTCAATTCTCAGAAGGCAACAATTAGCTGCAAAACGATAGAGAATATATGAAATTGGTAAACGTGTCGATGATTATTAATTACATTTTTTTTTTAATTATACACGAAAGAAAGTAGTTTATCTTTGCACGTATGTGTGTGTGTGTGTGTGTTGCGTGTATTCGCGTATGTATTGTTCATTAAGTGAATTACACGACAGCAGAAAGCGTCAGAGATTTGTTAGAATAGAGATGAGAAATGCGCATTTTATATGTAAACCTAGTACCAAGAATTTCCTAAACGGATTTGTCGAATAATGGATGATTTATAAAACGTGAAGTGTGATTAATAATGTCGTATAAATTTTTAAATAATTAATTTTTTTTCCTCCCTTCTCTTCCTTTCCTCTCTTTCCCTCTTCTCTCTCTTTACATTTATTACTGTATAATTAAAGTGTAAAATAGTTAATACAGCGATCTCCGAAGAGAATATATTTTTTTTTATTTTATGTATACAGTAAACGATTATTTAACATCCTTGACAATCTCTCTCTCTCTCTGTTGCTATAGCGACAAGGTGTGCGAGAAATTTCGAAAAGATAGAGAGATAATTTGTTGCACGGAGAAGATAGAAACATCCCTTCATTTATTTACGTCATTTACATACATTCGTCATTAGATTTTAATTAAAAAAAATTACAATATTATGATTATTTAATTAATTGATTTATATATTAGANAAAAATATACGTTAGAAGTATTATTTATTCTGTATTTCTTATACAATAGAAATACAGCTCGTATTTAAAGGTCGTTAAGTAAAGTACAAGCTTATTCTTTGGTCTACTTTTAAGTGTAGAAAGAAAAAGTTGGCTTTTTGTTCGAAATTTCGTATTTAAGCTGGAGAATAAATGGCAAAAGTTATAGAATTTAATAACAGAAACTAGAAATTTCGGATTAAGATGCAATAATCTCCGTTAGAATTTCGCCGGTACGCGGAGTATTGTATAAGCAGTGTTTGAGTTTGAGTTTGGAGTGGTGACGGTTAAAGTGACAATCGATCCGGATATAGGTGTCTTCACCGGAAAGTTTATACCAAAATTAAGCTCCGTTCCGAAGAAAATACGATACAAAAGAAAGAAAAAAAGGGGTGAACGGCCTCGCAAATCTTCCATAGATAGGATCACGGTTAGCATAACAAGATTTCGACAAATCTTATTATTATAATATATACATTTTTTTTTAATACCCTTTCACAAAATATATCACCATTTTTTTTTATTATTTCCTCGTGTTACACATCCGGTAATAGGTGTTGATTTATTTATTTGCGCCCGATATTAATTCGATCTTACCGGGAGACATTTTTATGTTGGCTGCAGAATGGGTGTTTTTTGTCGATCAAACGAGTACGCGACGTTTCATTATAGAAAAGTTAAAGTACAGCGTGCAGAAATTACTGTTACTATAGTAACAAAACTGGAGCAACTTAAAGGGTGACGTACTGTACAATGAGTTAATCCCGTAAACATATTTATGCGGACCTACGAGTTAACAATTTAATTGTTTCCGGATTTCCTTAGTCGATTTATTAAAAGTATTTTACGAATTTAAAAAAAAAAATTAAAGATTTTTATGTAATAGGAACTTTCTATCTTCCTAAGAACTTAGAAATTAAAAAAAAAATTTTTTTCTTTCTTTTTTGTAAAATGATAATCGATGGAGAGAAGCGGGTTGAATTAATAATGAATTTAATGCGATTAAATATTAACTTATTAATTTATACTTTAAGTAAAATTTACTTATAAAATAATCAGTTAAAACGAAGCGACGTCGGAGAGAAAGAGACATTTTAATGATCTTTTCCTTTGACGTCACTTTACAATAGGGAAAAGTTCCGGTGTTCAAGGACGAAAACTGGCGAGATTATGTCCATTTCTATTCGATTATTTTTGCAGATTAATTAAAACGAATACTAAATTAACTAAACGGATTAACGATTTAAAAACCATACAATAAAATCCAGCAAATAGTTGCTTAACTTTCCCGGCAAAATTTAAAATTTTGGTAGCTCCATCTGTTACGATATTTTATTATTAAAAAAAATAGAGAGGTTGCGGCCGACGTTTTCATCGCGAAAACGTCAACGTCGGACGTTGAGCGCCGCCTTCCTGTAAGCCTAAAAGTTTGACAATGGGGTTTGGAACGCCAAACGTCTCTATTATTTTAAATAAATAAGCTTACAAAGCGGAATTCGTTGTGTTTTTATTAATTGCTACCAGATGGCGCCGACAGCGCGAAAGAGTAAAGAATAATCGGAATAAATTCGGTTATTTAAAGGGCGAAAACACGTCACAGAAAAAAAAAGAAGCCAACGTAAAAGTCGTTAATGTCATTTAGAGAATTAATTCGAAAAATTTCCATTATTTTAAATTATATTTAACGAAATAACGCGGAAGAATATTGTGGTAGAAGAAGGAAATTTTGATGGGCGTAGAGAATAGAATTTAAACGAGTTAAATGATTGGTGTGCCGAATACCAAATATGTTTACTCCGAAGAAATCTTTACTTAAAGCAAACGTTTTATTTTTCATCGGTCGCGCGACCAGAATTGAAAAATAGAAGAGTAAAATAAGAATAATAATTTAAATAAATATTTTTCTATGAATAATTCTCTTCTAAAATATAANTGTGGGGAATCCGTCTCTAACCTCAATTCATTTAATCTGTAAGGCATTTCTCCGATTCTAATCTCGACTTTCGAGCACATTTATAAATTAAAAACGTTTGTTTTTTTTTTTTATTCAAGGATATTCCGGTCATCGGAATATTTAATTTATTTAAAAAAATCTGTTTAATTAATTAAATAGAGAGAGAGAGAGAGAAAAAAATTGGCACAATTACGAGCAATAATACTTAATATACTTAGCAGTAAACGAGCATTTTTAGGAGCTATTAAATTGGTAATTTTCTTTTTTTTTTTTTTTAAATTTAAATAATGCTAATCGTCTTTCACGAAAACTTTCCACATTTTAAATGGCTTAAGTCGTATTTATATAAATATCATTTTGACCCTAATTTGTAAATAAACGAGAATTCGCACGAATTCGAGTTAATACAAGCATTAATATGTAAAATCTGACGCCATTTTCGAACGGAGACCGAGCGAAAACAATTCGGAAACGACATTAAGTCGTACGCACCAAACGATTTACGTAACATTAATGTTAAAATCGCATTATAAATACCATTTATGACTCAAGATATACGCATTAAAATATAATAATTATATTTTAGTAACGACCCAACAGTGAAAACAACTTTAATTATCAAACAAATATTTACATTGCCAAGCTAGCATTTAATACATTCCAATGTTGTTTTTTTTTTAATAACGACATTAAAATACAAATGTACAAAATACGGTTTTGAAAGACTTTATATATATATATATATATATATAATTTTTTAGAGAGTCGTTGTGAGACGAACTAAATAAAATCTTTCGAATGCGAGGCATTTCTACGGAAGACTGTAGCGAATATAAAGTGNTAAAATACGTTAAATTATTTATGGATACATTTATAAATAAATCAAAATCCCCATATTTAGCTCCTCTCTGACCTTTGTTTTTTTATTAGAAATGGCTAGTGTTTGGATGATATTTGAAAATTGTAATAAAATATTTTAACGTTTTGATTCGATTAATACAGAGGTTACGGCCGAAGTTTTCATCTTTAAAACGTGAACGTCGAACGTCGAGCGCGCGGCGCTCGACGTTCGACGTTCACGTTTGACAGATGAAAACTTCGGCCGCAACCTCGCTAATGTAATAAAATATTGGAGAGGTCGAAAAAGTCATTTTATCACTTTCTTAGAAAAGGTTCATTACTTTCAATTGTTTACTTGTATGGATGACTAAATATTTTGACATTTGTTCCATTTGTGCAAAGAAACTTCAATACCTTCCGGGAATTTAATACTTTTATTTAATCCTATATCTTAAATATCCCACAGACTTCCCCCTGCTACTATATGTATTATTGTCTTTTATTTATTTTTTCCTTTCCCCCGCGTGGGCCTATATTACTAAAACCATTGGTTTTCTTTTAAATTTACTTTTCCGTATACGATATGATATATATTATTTTAATGCTTCTTAAAAGTATTAAAACATTATATTTTGTTAATTATTAAACATACGTAATAGTCAAAACGGCGCCAAATTTTCACCTAACGGCCTAATTTTGAAATAAAAGTTTGATTAAGGTTGTACGATTTCTTTCTTTTCAAATTAAAATCAAAATGGAAATTACCTAATTAGAGAAAACAAAGGCGATTTACGTTCATTATTACAATTAAATTCAAATAAGGAGAAATTTGTCGGCGAGAAAAAATTGAGTTTGCATTAATTAAACGTTGTTAAAGTGACAATAAATTAAATTCCTTAGCGGGATTACCATTATGAAAATAATCGCGATTAAAAGGATCGATAACGTTTATAGAAGGTAATAGCGCCGTCGTTATTGCTTATTTTCTTTTTTATACGTCGTAAAGAACGATAATAACAACCCTATAGAAATACATCCTCATGAAAGTAAAATGGCATTCGTCTTCAGACGGATAATTTTTAATAGAAATTAAATTATAATCACAGTAAGTTCACCTATCAATTTACTTTTATATATTTATATTTGAAGGGAGAAAACG